CAAGTCGCATCAGATTTTTGATGTCATATCTTCCAATAAGCATATAACTTTGCTTTTCAAGAACTGCCTAAAATTCAGCCCGGTAAAAAAAGAGTCATCAAACTGGAGTAGGAAGACTAAGAACAATATATTTTAATTTGATAACAATCATAAAAATAGAGGGAGAGAGTGTGCTTATATGTGCATAATATCTAGCTACATTATTCTGGTGAAATTTCAAATGAACTCTTCACACCATTCACATCAGAAATGTTCATCAGGTACTCTGGGAGAAAAAAGATTAAAATCTAAAAAAAAAAATCATGTTCCACTAAGAAGTTCTCTAAACCTAATTTAATTGCACATTTTTTTAGAGGATTCCAAGTTTCTGAATTCATATTCATTGATCTTTTTTGAACACAATTTAGACCACCAGAGGTGGGTGAGATAAGAGAAAGGGAACACCTAACCAGTTTATCATGCATATTCATTGATCTTATGCAACAAGTACTTCCATTTATATTTCACAGTTAACTTTGACTCTTTTTCAATCTCATTTTATCGACTTAATAGAGTTAATTTAACTACTCTAGGTTATCAAGAGTTCGCAACAAAAATGCTAGGAAGAAAAAAATGCATGCAAGAAAACAAACTAAATGTAGGTTTAATATGTAAGGATTCACAAAATGGTCAATTGCTTACATGTCAAATCTTAGCACTTAAAAACCTTAAAGATCTAGTTGAACTCTTCATAGCTTAATTATAATTTAAAGAAAGGCAAACCAAAAGCTAGTACAAACAGTACAAAAAGAGCTAAACGTAAGAAGATATTATCAATAACAGAATAAAGAATATTTAGAATTATAAATCCTTGAAAAATTCTAGATAGGGTCATAGGGAAGAATAAAAGGAATATAGTTGCCTCCATGTATGAAGTTCGGCATCTTTCATATGCCCTCTCAAGAAAACTTTGCACATAGCTCACAAGACCAACAGCAAATTTAGGAATTGCTTGAGCCCAACCAAGTACCTGTAGTAATTAAAGGGGTTAATTATGTTTTTCTTATCCATATCCTTTACCCCCTTCCCAATTTGGGCCACATCCATCAAATCTATACAGTGAGGTCCCTAAGACCCTAACCTTTACTTTTAAATTCAATTATGTCCTTACCTATTCTGTTCAAGTTTCTGTTTAAAATTAACACATGCATGACGTGTGATCTAAAATTGGCTTTGTTAAAAAAAAAAACTTGCCAGTGGCCTCATTTCTGATGTGCCAATCACCATGCAAGTCAGATCCAAAAGATGAATTACTCTGTTCCAAAATATTATGAGCCGAGTAGCCTTCCCACGGTCATAATAGACAAAATTCATGGTTTTTATGAAGATCAATTGTAGATCCTATGTCAATGTTGGCATGCACATGTTTATTTTAAACAACAGATAATTGGACAGGATAAATAAAGAGGGCTAAGCTGGAAGTACAAGTAAACGTTAGGAACCCAATTGCAAGGATTAAAGGATGGGGATAAAATTGGGAATGTTGCAAAAGAATAGGGATCAACAACATCAGAGCTAATTAAGTGAAAATGTTGGACAAGCACCGACTTTACAACCGCATGTTGAACAGGAAAAAAATACACAATTGCATGTTGAACTTTTTATATATTTGGCAAAATAGGTTGATACTAC